TTAGTCATATCGGCGTTGATGATCATCAGCGTGGCGACCATCACACCCATCACGACAAGGATGCGCTCGACTTTGACTTCGCTAGTTCTCGATGTCGCCGCGGCGGTGCGCACGGCGCGTTTCGTTTCAATTCCTGTTCGCGTGCGAATGTCGCGCCGTAATGCTGTTTGGACCATTCGTCGAAATCATACACTGGGATGTTATTCGTCGGGGGCGGTGGGCGAGATTTAACATCTCTAGATCTAAAATTTATTTAATAGTAAATAATTATTCGGTTTTTGTGGTTATACTACCTGTAGAACTTCAAAGATGGATCGTCATCTTCCTTGACTCGCCATGCGCCTGCGTGCGGACGGGTATCACTCCCCACATGCATCATTCCTGTTTATATACAATTTTTAATGTTTTTGTATAAATTAATCAAGTTATTTATACCTTTATCATATAATCTTCGTAGTTTTACATTGCCGAGCACTTCATACGCGGCTGTCACCTCTCGGAACTTCTTAATATGATCCTCAGACTCTGAATTACCAGCCGCTTGACTATCGGGGTGGTATAACTTAGTCAGCTTATAATACGCTGCTTTTACTTCTGCTTGACTTGCAGATGGCGTTATACCAAGCGCGTTGTAATGTGAACGCGCATCCAGCGGGGTGCCTATACAGATATGCCGTCGAGCTTGCCACCCCCGACATGGTAAACCCAACAAATTGCTTACGATACAGCGGCAGCGCGGCAGGCGTGTTCCAGCGTACACAACATCGAAATTCACGTGAGAATTTTTATCATTGTCACTTAAATTTGGTGTAGTGTTTTAGTGCCTTGTATGTTACATCACAGAAATTACAGGTTTGTAAGGTTAACACGTTGGGGACTCAGCTGTTTTTGATGTAGTTTCACGTAGAGGGCGCTGGGGAAGTTACATACAGGGAAGTATTTGATATACGGTCATTTCGCCGTGAGATTAATTCTAGATTAAGTTTTTAGGTAATTTTAACGCTGAAATAAATAAATTTATGTGGATATTAAGCATTTGTAAGTGAAATTAGTTTAATATCTGCGTAAATTTATTTATTTCTGGGTCAAAATTATCCAGAAACTTGAATTATTCTTGTACCACGGTGAAACAACCCACGGCGAAACGACATAACCCCAAAAATCATTCTCAATCACTGCTCTGGTTTAAATTCATTTACTTCTAGTTCGGTCCTGTTGTTCACCTGTCAAGTCGTTTGCATGATCAACAAGTACGTACGCAGAAGTGACCTGCGTGGTGCGTAACCTGCAATATTTCAACTTGCAACAACAACTGTTTTGCATGCGTCGTCGTCGCGGTGGCGTTGTGGCACTCATCTCCCCACGTAGTACACACACGCAGGTGCTGCGAACACAATGCACATGCTAATCGAGAACGTGGCGGCGTGCGACTAATTATAAATGCGAGACACGCACGCAGCGTGCACCACTCTCATAGCGCATCGATGGAGGTATTCTCTGCACGCTGACGATGATCACCAGACTCGTGCGCTTCCTGCGCCCACGAAAACCACTCCTGCGGCTGGCCGCCGCCGCCGTCGTACTTATCATCCTCGTGA